TTAGCTCAATTAAACAAGCATTTATTGAGCACCTAAACTGTGCTGGGGAGCCAAAGATGAATCAATAACAATTTGGTTCCTTGACTTAGAATGGTTATAGGAATGACAGGATGCATCCTCCCGGAGGGCCAGTCGAATATTTCCTCTGGCAATTATTTTAGCATTTCTTTATTGTCCCATAATGCCAAAAGGAGATCAAATAAAAATGACTTTTCATTCGATCAACCCTTATAAGGTACCTACTTTGTGCACTGCGCCGTATTAGGGGCTCTTGGAAACACAGAATACATACTCAATTATGGTTTATCAAGCACACATGCTGTGTAGAACATGGTGTCCTAACACAACCAGGAAGCAACCGAACTGGGTCAATTTCCTTTTAGGGTTTACCATTTCCCTCTTCTTTATAAGTTAAGTCAGTCAGCCAATTGGCAACCTTCACAACATCTCTATCCTAGATGAAAGTATTCTCTCCTTTGCCCCATCACATTCTACCTGGTTGCACAGTGACTAAAGCACAGAACATAGAGTCAGGAAGACCTGAGTTTGAATCTTGCCTCAGATACTCCCTAACTGTGTGCCTTGTTTCCTCATCTGTCAAATGGGTATAATAATAGCACCTATCTCACCAGGTAATTGAGAGGATCAAATGAATTAACATATGAAAAGTATTTCGCCAACCTTAAAGCGTTACATAAATATTAGTTATTATTATATTTGAGTGTGCATAGGTTATATCATCTCTAGCAGAATTAAGGTCTGTAAGGGCAGAATTTGAATAAATTTTATATTTCTTTCCCTAATGCGTAGCATGGCATATAGTACATGGAGTAATGTATGGAAAGGTTCAGGGAGGACTAGCACCTCTGTTGTGAGGGCTTGACAAATCCTTTTCAGGGCCACTCATCCACCATCTTCAGTCACATCCTACCTGTAGCTCCAAGAAGCTGTAGTATGTAGCTGTGGCCACACCTCAGTAAACTGCCTCAGCAGATGGGCTAAACCATGTCGAGGGTAACCAACAGGCCACATATATGTCAGTGAGTTAGAGAGATGTCTACCCCAATTGTATAAAGGTGGGTTGATGAGAACAATTTGTTCCAACAGACCATGAAGGTGAATGAAGCAGGCACTGTGGAGCACATAGAGTTTGGTCAGGTATTGAAGATGCCAAGGTCATCTACTATATCCTGAGCCATCATTGGTTATTTTGACTTTTGTCCTGCCACTGGACTTCAATGACTCAGGAAGAGAGATTGAGGATGACAACTTCATGTTAACTCTGCCTCAGTTAAATCCAATTCATGAACAATCAAGACATCGTCTGTGATGTCATTGGTCCTCTTCAAAAACATAGGACCAACAACACCAACACCAACATGGAGTAATGGAAAGAGGGCTGGACTTGGAGTCTGAGAACACAGATTAAATTCCATTACTGCTACTCGCTGTGTGACTCTGAATGCATCATTCTTCCTCTCTAGGTCTAATCTATTTCAACGATAAACTGAAAAGACTGGATTCACTAGATCATCTCTAAAATTTCTTTCTAGCTCCAAATCCTATTATTTATCTAGGAGCTACTAAAAAAATAAATAAATAAAAGTGAAATGTACTGGAGGAGCTCGTGATTTCAAGAAACTATACAGTTAATCCATTGTTTAAAAACAAAGTCTTTTTGTAAGGTCAGTGATTAGACACCTAATTGAATAGAATTTAATAGAAATTTAATTGAATAGCATAGTACCTGGTATATAGTAGGAGCTTAATAAATGTATGGTGAATTAAATCAGTTTTTCCTACTTAAGTTGAATTCTTTAGAGTAATGATGAATCTTGAATAATTGAATATATCGAAGTTGTCCAAAAAATGAGACACAACTCCACATGCACAAAATTTACCAAGGCCCAGTCAATGGCTCATTTATTATGAGCATTTTGTGATAGAATGAAATTCCAAGACAAAACAAGGATTTGGATAATCATCAGGAATTGGACATCATTGAATTTAACCTGTACCCCTGTTATAAAAAGCTCAGAGCTCTGTGGGATGCAAGCAGGCATTAATGATAAAATGTCTATCACTCAATTAGAGTCATTGCAGTGCTCTTTACTTGTGCAACATCAAATGATACTAGAATCTTCATTAATTCCAACAGTGACAAGGTTGGTGCTGGGTGAAGCCTGTGTATTGAACTGCACAGCTGACTGCATTCGTTTGTCTAGGACAGCATGCATGTCTCATCCGTCCTATTTTACTTTAGACGAGGATATGGGCAATGAGAGGCTATGACAACCTAGCAGTTCCATATAATAATTATTGTGCAGATTTTTTTCTGAAAGAGAAATTGCTACTCAGCTTAAATGAAAGCTGAGTGGGGCACTTAAAATCACTACTTTCTGTTTCTATCAGACCAGCAGTAATCAAATTTTACAATAATGAAGATCTTTGGTAAAAATCCAAGAAGGCCAAAGTTTCTAATTATGGCTACACACATAGCATATTTCAATATCAATGGATGTGTCACATCCATCCACGGGAATATATCTTCAAAGGGTACAGATTACATGCCTTCTTATTCTGTGAAATTTTTGTTTCTATACCCTCCTGTAAGTCCTTCACTGTCAGCCCACTCATTGTGTTAAAGGCCTTGCTCTGGATGTCTTGATATTGTGTGAATACTGAAGCATCACAGATGGCTTCTCAAGTACAATTCCTTATTCTTAAAATGTTGCAAGATCCACCATGATCTTGTTCTTTGGGTGACTATAATTTAAACTCTAAGAGACTGTGGTATCTCATGACTTATAGCCCCACAACATCACCCAAAGAAACTTGAAGTTAAGAAGACCTGAGGTCATTAAAATACTTGATTGATTTCTCCAAAACAATCTATCACACTTCCTTTTTTCTAGGCCCAATTCATTGTTCATCAATTGTGCCAAATCAAGATATGCAAGATATTCAAGATTAATTCTAGGGGTTGTGCATCCCACTGCATATAATAGTTTGGACAATAGACATTCATCATTCACTTTATTGTATTAAAGTCCAAAAACAGTGTGGTCTTCTAAATGAGATTCATAATTACTCTAAAGAATTCAACTTAAGTAGGAAAAACCAATTTAATTCATCATATATTTATTAAGCTTCTACTACATACCAGGTACTATGCTAGGTGCTAAGAATACAAAGACAAAAGTGACACAGTTTCTATCCTGAGGCAGCTTATACTTGTTTTCCCCTAGTAGAATGTGAGCTCCTTGAGGCCAAGGACTGACTCATTTTCTGTTGCTGTCTTCCTAGCACCTTTATGCCTTATTTTATGTTAACAATTAGTTTTGACATGTTATCTCTGCTCCATCTTTCAAGGAATATTGTGTGATTTTGACTTATGCCATATTACACGTTTTTCTACAGGAGAACCTTTAAAACTGGCTAATGAGATGACTGCTCCATGATTTTATTGGACTGACAATGAAGCATGTATCTTAATTCTTGGCAGGGATTATAGGTGCAGGATGAAGGCTATATTTTCAGATGATAGCCAATGTGTTGATTTGTTTTGTTTGACAATACTTATTATATTGGAGGGGTTATTGGGGACAGAGAGATGGAGGGGCAGGAGGAAATATCAGGAAGAGACACTGATGTGAAAAAGAGAGCATTAATAAAAAAAACTTTTAAAAGGAAAACTTTTTCTACTGAATCATATGGCATTTTGAAAATAGGAAACAATAAACACAATAGATTCTTGTATTATCTGCACTTTTAGTCAATTGGGCAACTGGAAAGATCCATTTGGTTATAAAATAAATATTGTTTTAAGAGCTTGCTTGTTTCCTTCTTAACCCTTTAAAGCAATATCCAGAATGCCTCTGGAAATTATGCTTATAAAGATTTTATGGAGATGAGGAAATAGGCATATGTGAAGACAACTATTGATAATTTCTTGATTACTTTTTTGTAACAAAAAATCATTGTCATTGTTTAATATAGCAATGATACTGAATTATTAATCAAAGTAACCATTCTCTGCTTGTAAAATACTGAAATTCTGAAAGAAAAAATAATAGGAGACTTCAGTACCTATTACTATACTTATGAGCTTGAGGTATGGATGAAGTTATGTCCGCTAGCATACCAGGAGAGAGTTTGTCACTTTTCAGTGCCAGGTACATCAAAGACATTAGCTCTGAAAGAAACTTAAGACAAAAAAAACCCCCCAAACCTGGCACCCTCTGCTTTCAGTTGATGGTGTTTAGGATTGATAGGAACTCAATGAAAATCAAACATTAGTAGTTTGGTTCATTTCTTCTCTATGATTCCTGGAGGGTAATCCATCCTATACAATAAAAACACATACCAGGAAGCATCTCCACCTTTGAAGCACAATTAAGCAGTTAAAAAAAAAAAAAGTCTAGGCAAGGGCTGTCAAATAAATATAAGAGAAGGAAAGAAGAGTCCAGTTGGCTAAATTCATTTCCCTTTTTTGATACTTGAGATGCAGAATTTCATTTCCCCAAATCAGATATGGAAGCTACCAACCCAATCATTTCTCAGGAGCAGCTGTGGAACAGAACCCTGAAGTTTGGGTCCAAGTATCCCCAAAACATTGGTGACTGTTAATGATCCCAGTAAAGATACTAGTTTCTTCCTTGCAAAGATGAAGGGCCCATGAATAGACCTCCTTATGAATGAAAAAGCAAATGTATTTATTTGGACAGGGAAGCACATCCATGTGTATAATTATTATGTGTGTGCTCTCAGTATGTATAAAGAGCATATGTAGACATTTTTATTATATGTACAACATTGCCTGTCAGCTACACTATAAACCTACAGAGGAAGTGAATCTAGTCTTGCTGATTACATCATTTCCACTATATCCCAATTCCTTTATCTGAGCACCCAGACATCCATTGGTGTCTGGTTTAGATAGAAAGGAAGGAGCTGGCTCCGGTTAGTCCTTTCTCTTAGGCTTCTCAACACTACCATGGGCTCCTGGGGTCACCTCCCCCTCAGCCTAGCTGGCGAAGCTTTCACTGGAACTTGAGGGTTCTGAGGCTCCAATTGGTTGGTGAGTGGCATCCTCCTCCTTAAGCAATGAAAGATGAACTGAGGTTGACAGGATCTCCAGAGATAAGGTGGGTTCATTAGTTATGGGCAAAGAGACTTGAATAATGGCAAGAGTATAGGTTTCCTGTCCCCATACAGTATAAATTAGTTACCCAAAAAAGTCAGCAAAATATGTATTATTGATGGTGTTTGCCATACTGGAGATAAAGAGAAAGCTTTATCTGGAACAAAAGATAATGATAAATGGCTTTTATTAAATCAATAGATCAATTCAAAGTCAATAAGTTAAGGAATCCAGAGGTCTCTCAAAGCAGGATACTGCCAAAGTGACTCCAAAGGTCAACTCTTAGTGGAAACTAGAGCTCAAGAAGAATTTCAAGACTGTTAATGAACAAAAGAACAATTAGACATATCTTTTTCTTCTCTCACCACCCCTATTTTAAATACATGATAGAAACAGATTTTAGCTTAACTCTTCGGTACCCTAGGAATAAGAATTCTCACTTTAGGCCTTCATCCATTACCTCCTTCCTATGCATTGCCTACAGACATGTCCAGGTCTCCCCCCTGGGGAGACAAAAACAACAACAACAACAACAAAGAAACCCTACAACACAACCAAAAACAAAAACAAAAATAAAAAAATTCACTCTAAGCTGTCTGTACTCACCATCCCCTCAAGCTATTTCCTCTTTCCATAACCAAACTCACAATTATCTATGCTTGTTGCCTCAGTTTACTCACTTCCTGCTCACTTCTCAACTCTTAGCAATCTGGTTTCTGACTCCACCACTTAAAGGTAACAACTACCTCTGCTCTGCTAAATAGAATGGCTTTTTTTTTTTCAGTTTTCACCTGCCTGGTTTCCAATGTATTGCTAAATCCTGCCCATTTCTACTTCTTGCATCCCACCCCTTCTCCCTACCCACATAGTCACCATCTTAGTAAAGGTACTCACCACTTCTCACCTGAACTATTTCAATTGCCTCTTAATTGGTCTGCAGGCCTCAAGTGTCTCCCCATTCCAATCCACCCTACATACAACTGCTAAGTGTTCACTTTTAAGCACTGACCTTGTAACTCCCTTACTCAACAAACTCCAATATCTCATTATTGTCTCTAGGATAAAATATCAACCCCTCGGTTTGACTGCTAAAAACCTTAATCACCAGGCCCAACCTACCCTTCCAGATTTATTACACATTACTCCTCTTTCCATACTCTATCGTCAAGCCAAACTGGCCTTCTTGCCTTTCTTTACCTGTGACATAACATCTTTCATCTCTGTGCCTTTTGCATTGACCATCCCCCATGCCTACAATAGTCTTCCTTCCTCAGTCCTGCATCTTAGAATCTTTTACTTCCTTTAGGACTCAAGTTAAACACTACCTTCTTCATGAAACCTTTCCTGATGTCCCCAGCTGTTAGAATCCTGCCCAAAGTACCTTCAATTTATTTTGTATACATTCTATACATTCTTACATTTTAGAAATTGTTTCACTTGGTAGAATAGAAACTCTTTTCGGGCAGGAACTCTGTCACTTTAGCATTTGTATCCCTGGAACCTAATGCAATGGCAGGAACATTGTGGGTACTTAAGAAAGGCTTGTTGATTGATTGATGTCTTCAATGTTCCAGTAAAACTGACCCACTAGCTGTTCTCTGAACTTGCATCATCTTCTGTTTCTGTCCCCTTATGCCTAAAAATCTTCTTCCTTTTTCTCTGATATTTTGCTTCCTTCAAGGGCCAAGTCAGGTTCTGTCCATGATGTGAAGCCAGTCATAATGTTTTCTCTCTCTTCTCAAGTTAGCATGTATTTAGTTATCTGTGTATATGTTCATAGAATCATAGATTTAGAGTTGAACCCTGTTAGGTGCAAAGAATTGGATACAAAATATATGCCTATCAATTGGTGAAGGTCTAAAAAAATATGACAGATAAATGTAATGAAATATTACTGGACTGTGAGAAATGGTGAATATGAAGAAGATAGAGAGGTATGGGAAAGAACTTTTTTCCCTTATAAAGGGAAAAAGGCAGAACCTGGAAAAAATGCTAACAACAATACAAATGGAAAGAATGACAACAAAAACTGACATTGAAGACTGTAAGTATAACAACCAAGTGTGGCCCAAAGAAGAGACATCAGAATGCACTTCCCTCCCTCCTATGTAGAGGTAGAGACTATGGATGTCTACAAATACTGTTAGATTTGACTGACACAATCATTTTGTTAAAGTGCTTTCTTTTCCCCTTTCCTTTTTATTCTTTGTTATAAGGAGAAGCAGAAAGGAGTGTATATTGGGAATAAAATTGATGATAAAAATTTTTAAATGATGAATAAAGAAACATTTTATTAATTGTTTACTTTTCGCTAATTGTGGAGGATAAAAATACAAAAATGAGATGCCCTCCACCTTTTAAGAGCTTATATTCTAATGAGGGAGAAAACATATATAGGACAGCACATCTACAGGGAAGATGGAAAGGCCCAATGATCTGGAGTAGAGGTAGGGGAGCAGAGAGGCAGATGAGATAGCAAACCCTGGGTTTCCAGAGGAAGTGGTAGCTGGGCAGATGGTAAGAGCTGGAAGTCTAGAAGTTAAAATTTTTTAATTCTATCCTTTTACCACGACAGAAACTGCAGAAGGTCTAAGCTACTGCCTTCCCATTTAAGCTGAACCCACAACTGAGGCACTCTTTCAGTAGTTCCATTCAATGACCACAGCTGTTTCCCTCTGGGAACTAGCAATAGTTCTGACAACAATAAATATCTGCTAGAGCCCCAGCATCGAAATCTCAATCTTTGCTACTCACTTACAATAGTCTACAATGAAGTAGAGAAGACAAGGCATACATACTTTACCCCCAGGCCTTTTGGACAACTACTCTTACTCCCAAGCCAAGAGTGTGACCTCTAATAATAAAAATTCTGGTAGTTAATATTTATATAGTGCTTTAAGGTTTGCAAAACATTTTACAGATAGTATCACATTTTGTCCTCACAACAATCCTGTGTGGTAGATGCTATTATTATTCCCATTTTATATATGAGGAAAATGAGACATGGAGTAAAGTTAAATGACTTCACTAGGGTCACACTATTAAGATAGAAAGCGTGTTCCCCTCTGGAGAACAAAAGATTCTTGAATAGTGGCTGGCTTTACCAAGCATAAGCTGTGCTCAGGAATGTCAAAAGCTTTTCCAATATAGTTACAGAAATAATGGATAAAAAAGAACATTGTAGATATTACATCTTATACCTCCGTAAAGCCTCTCATAATGTGTCTTATGAATCTTTATTTGCACAGTTAGTTCAAATTGGCTTGGATAAGTCACAGGCTTGTGGATAAGCTACTCTGAATAACTCGTTGGTAAGATAGTTATGTGGACTGCTAACAAGCTGACAGAGCAGGAACCAAAGATGATAATGTGTGGGAACATTTCCTGCCAGGAGAAATTTCTATCAGAGTGTCACAGGGGTTAGTATTGGGTTCAGGTAGCTTTATTAAAAATATAAAATATTATCAGGCTACACAGACGCTTTTTTTTTTTGTCACTTCACTAACCATGTAGGAGGTGTTATTTTCATAGTAAAATGAACAAAACCAAAATTTTTTTTTCATTGGCAGCATTAGCTGAGCATCCACTGTATTGAGTCTCACACCAAGTTCTACAGAGAAGTGGTAAGTGATATTATGCCTGACCTCCAGAGCATATAGTTGAATGGAGAAAGATAGAGTAAATATAATTTTTCAGAATGCTTCTGTAGTGGATAATTTCTCTGATTATTAGTAAATGTGAACATTTTCCAGGCCATTATGGTTCATTTGTATTTCTTATGTTGAAAACTGTTTCTATCCTTTGCCAATTGTCTATTAAGGGATGAGTTAATTTGTTTCATAATATTTCTCATATCTGTCTTCTTCTTCATTCTCACTGCTCTTACCCCAGTTTAGAAGCTCATTCTCACCTAGACTAACAATAATTGTAATAGCTTTCTACTAGTTTTCCCCACCTCCAGTCCCTCCCCCTTCCACTGTACCTTACATACTCAGAATTATCTTCTTTTAGCTTACCTTGCAAAGAACCTTTCTGTGGCTCCTCATATCCTTGAGAATAAAACAAAACCTCTCAGAATCAAATGCAAACTTTTCCACCCTGTAACTTCATCCTAAATCTCTAGCCTTGTCTTCTATTACTCCCCTTTACACAGACAATCACATTCCTCCACCAAGTAACCTATTTTTGAATCTTACCCATCCTTCAAGGCCCAAATAAAATACCATTTCCTTCCCTGGTCCTCCTCAAATAACTTCCTCTCTGCTTCCATAATACTTTATGATTCTCTTCAGGTCCTTATCTCTTTCTACTTTGTATTCTAATGCGGTGATGTCATCAACATAGGAATAGCACATCTTTCACTAACATAGATCATAGCTTCCTCAAACACTTGATAACATAAATAGGTTTCAAGAATTGTTGTGGCCATCACCTGTGGCCAACCTGGTGAAGGGACTCTAAATCAATTGGCTTACAAGCAATAGAAATGGAGACTGTAGCTGGGCCCATACTTAAAGCCTTTCCAGATTAGCAGGAAGGACTTACTAGGACTTGTATACTGCCGTGAAGAAATGGGCCTCAACTCTAGATCAAAGTGAGGCTGAAATCAAACTTTGGCAGACTTCAGTTCTTTATTGTGTTATTTGTGTGCCTACTTTACCTACTAGATTGTAAGCTCTTTGAGGGCAAGGACCATCTTTGTATCCTGCCTACACTTGTATACAGTAGCTACTAGATAAATGTTGAATAGAACTAAATCATCCATCTACTGCTGGCCTGGCATCATAGTGCTTCCCCCATCCCTCTGTTTCCATATGGTTTTCTTTGGTCCGGAAAGAAGCTGTATTCTGTATTTCTTTCAATCTTCCATGATGGAGAATTCATAGGGAGGTAACAATGAAAGAAAGTTAGGTGAATAAATTTGAGAGAAGGCTCCATTCCATACCCAAAGGACAAGAGAGGCTGGGAATAAAGGACCCTGTTGTGTTGGCTGAGAAGAGAAAAATGAAAATAAATCTGCTGTCACATGGCTTTTGCTCCTCTCGTCTTCCCCACCTCATATGACCTCACTCCCCACTTAGACCCCATCTGAAAAGTAGTGCTCAAAAGTCAGCAGATGCTGCTGTCAGTCATCAGCTGCACACCTCCTACCCTACCCTGAATAAACCCCAAAGGTATTATTACAGAGAAGCTTCAATTTTCCATTTGTTTTCCATTCACCTCACAGCCCACAACCAAAGAAAATCCCTAAGGTGATAAGGTGAGTGTCATCTTGAAGTTGAGGGGAATCCCTATATTTAGCTGATTTTTTAAAAAATCCTGTACACATCTAAAACAAAGAAATATAAAAAGGCATGATGACATATTCAAGGTTTTGTAATTTTATAATTATTAGAGATTACCAAAAGGATGAATGCATATCCTAAGACAGAATTACATTTTTAAAAATGCATTTCCATTATATATTAATAATAACTACTTTGTAGTCTAGTGATAAAGGTGCTAGATTTGGGGATGGGGGCCCTGGGTTCAAATCCCAGGTCTGTTATTTTTCATCTGTGTGATCTTGGGCAAGTTCCTTAATTTCTGTGGGCCTATTTTTTCATCTGTAAAATGAAGGGGTAAGGGCTGGACCAGATGACCTCTGAGGTCTCTTCTCATTCTAAATCTCTAATTCTATGACACACCTTTAGAAGGAGACCTACCATGTCTGTTTTCCATTTAATCCTTCATATCAATTTGTAGGAAAAGAAACACAGCCAACAACAGAGAAGTACTAATATCAGTGTATTGACTTCTAAGAACTAGTGGCCCTTTGGAGAGTAAAGAAAAAATCCTTCTTTGTATCTAAAATCTGCTGGGTGTTAATTTGACATGGCAATGAGATGAAAGTTAGGCTCATGCTAGCTTCCACATCAGAGGATTGGAATGCAGGCTACTTAGCATAGGAGTCAAACAATTCACTGGCAATAGATTGCTTTCCACTTGTAGATCTGCTAAATAAATAGAAAACTAATTAACAGTACGATATGGCAGATGTAGCAGGTTTGAATTTCATTAGAGCACTAGCTAAGAACTGAAGGCATCACAAAGTCATTTTATGTCCCACTGTCTGATGAATCTTTCATGTTTTCTTTTCTGGGGGACCGAACAACCACTACCCCTGCTTCTCTTTAAGCATTTCTGGTTTCTCTGTTATATTTTCACTTTGATTAAAAGGAAAGAAAAGGAGAGAGAAAGAAAAATATTAAGTTCCTGAAACTAGTCCAAGATAAAGAATTCCTCTGATTTTCCTGTCAAATTGTTTTGGCTCTGGAACAGCAGAGCAATATTTCCCTTTTGTTGCCTTTATGGATTTCTGTTAAACTATTTAAAGCTTTATTAAATAACTGTATTTTGTAAGGCTATTTGAAGGTCTCCTTAGTTTTCCCCACCTTCTTTGAAGAAAAATAACTATAGGTTATACCTAATTCACAACAGTAGGAAAGAATGGAAATTTATAGGAAAATAAATCCATGTCCAGAATTCTTAAAAATAGGTCGACATATTTGTTTTTAACTTAACTTTAAAAAATATTTTTAAAATGCTTAACTCCTTCCTTGTTTCTGAGTTGCATAATCCAAATTCTGCAGCATTAATTAACAATACAAGTAGTGTTTGGCCTAATCAAAAGAAAATAAAATAATTAGGTTACTTAGGAAGTAGGGGTCATTTGATTTTACTTTGTGTGGGTAATGAATGACACCAAGTTACTGTTTAACAGGAAGCTTTCACAGGACAGCTGGTGGCAAAACCCGTTGGAAATTCCTTAGCCAACACCTGACTGAAAACGATTCATCTCTATGGCTGCTGGTGCCTAGACCAAAGTCCTCATTTTTGACCAAGACAGATCACACTTTGGTAAAAATGGAAGAAGGAAGTATTTTTACCACTTTTTTAAAAAAATGGTTTACTGTGTGGATACTCACTGACTTAGTGAGTAAACAGAAAGGGGCCTATGTTTCCCATAGGTGTATTCCACAAGTGTAGAAAAAATACCAGTGACCCTTTTCTATCTTGCATATTTGGACCTCTGAACTTCTGCATATTTTGTCACACTTGACATAACTGTGTTCCAGATGAAAGAAGAACCTAGTCTTTCAAGTGGCCATTATGAAGCTAAGTACATAAATATGCATGAGAGGGCATTATTATCACAGGATGATACTTAAAAGGTTCGAGTGTCTCTTACTAAGACTTTTCATCTTGCAGTTTCATATCACCATGTCTATTTGTGCTTTGGAGGTTTTCCAGGTGATGGCCTGGGGGTAGGTGGGTGGGGATGGGGGGGGGAGATTCTTGTGCAGGATTCAAAAACAGGAATGATCCTTGAAGGTTTGTCTTTCCTTAAATCACTGCAAGGCCACAGGCAAGTGATGGAATTTTAGAGCTGCTTTAGAAGGAACCATTTTGCACAGAAATGAGGCCCAGATAAGGTCACACAGATAGTGAGTGGCAGAGTTATAACTAAGGCTCTAAGTCCAGGGTTCATTTCAATCAGCATGCCTCTTCCTCTCATAGGCAGAGGTATTGCCTAGAAGCCTCTCTGTACCTGATTTTGTGGCCCAGCCTCTGAAGATCCAAGAGAGGCCAAAATGGAAGTCAAATTAGTGAGGGGCTATAGTGCAACCTCCTCTCTTCACCAAAGTTCTGCTAATTTGGTGAAGGATATTTCCAGGGTATTATCTGAAAACACTTTGTGGGAGGAAGGCCAGCTGCGCTTACTTCAGCAAAACCTTTAAACTTGGAGGAAAGACTCACTTCCTGGAGACCAGTTTCTCAGTTTATTGAGAGTTAATTGCCCTTGTGACTCAACTCTTCATGGGAGAAGTGTAAAAGGAATGGTCTCTAGTCAGTTAAAGTTGATACCGTTATCAAATAATCTTTTTTCTCTCTCCATGTGTGTGAATGCACGCACATATGGATTTTGATGTAGTAAAGACTGAGCCAGTCTTGAGGTTAGGAACGCCTACCTCTGAGACTGGGTGACTAAAGTGACTAAAAGTCACTTAACCTATTAACACTCCAGGCAATTCTCTAAGACCAGACATTGCAAGCGAGCAGCTGGATCTGCTTCTGAGTGGGGAGTTTCCAAACTGGAGGTCAGTCAACAATCATTTATTATTAAGTACCTGCTCTGTGTGAGGCATTGTGCTAAGTTCCTCACACTGATGAAATCACAGGTCTGCCACCGAACTCCACCTCCACCAAAGTGCAAAGGACATTTCCAATAGCTTGGGAGGCTCCAGATGCCTTTGATTTTTGATTGAAAAAGTGGAAAGGGAATTCTTCTCAGATTTTTTACTTGAGGGCTCAACACTTCTAGCTAAATGAATGTGTAATACTTTGGTTGGAAGAGTGGAGGAAAAACCAAGAAAAGAGTGCTGGAACTCCTTGGACTAATGTAAAAATGAATTAGGAATTCTTCTATATTTCATTTGTGGGGCTTGCCCAAAATTCTGAGCATCCTCACACTATCCTCTCCCACCAACCTCCCATCCCTCTAAGGTCCCCAAATCTCAGTTACTCTTGCTTTTTCTGGTCACATTACAGTAATCAATTAATCAGGAAGACTGTATTAAGTATCTACTATGTGACAGCCACTGGAACTGCAAAGATAATAATGAAACAATTTTTACTCCCAAGAACCATATGTAAATAAAGAGAACAAATATAAAACAAATGCAAGGTGATTAAATATAAAGCAATTTGAGAGGGAAGGTACTAGCGGTTGAGGGGACCACAAAGTCCTTCATATGGAAGGTGGAGTATGCACTAGAAGAAAAAATGGAGGCAAAGTTTAAGTGATTACCCAGGGTCACACATTTAAATGTCTGTGGCTAGATTTGAACTCAGGTCTTCCTGATTTTAAGTCCAGCCCTCTGTCTACAGCACTACCTAGCTGCCTCACAGAAGGAGAGGGATTTGTTGAGGTTGAAGTGAGGAAATAATGCATTCCAAGCATAGGGAAACCAGTTAAAACACATAGATATGGAAGATGGATTGCTGTGTGTAAAGAAGAGAAAGTTTGGCTTGCTCTCAGAGTGTAGGAAAGGGAGTGGTGTATAATTAGGTCAGAAATATAGGTCAAGGCAAGGTTGTTAAGGGCTTTAAAAGCCAGAGCTGTTTATACTATCCTGGAGGCAATAGGGAGCCATTAGAGTTTATTGAGCAAAGAAGTAAGATGGTTAGATCTGCACTCAAGGAAAATCATTGCCAGCTGTGTAGGATGGATGGGAAAGGGAAGAAGGGAGACCAGTAAGGTCTATCTGCAATAATCCAGATGGCAGGTCATGAGGACCTGAACCAAATAGGTGGTTGTGTGAACGTAGAGAAGACATGAGAGATAGTGTGTAGGTAGAGATGGCAAGATCTGGCAACTGGATGGATATGGGGACTGAATAGGGAGGCATTGAATAGGCTAAGACTGGAGGAAGGGCATGTACAGGTAAGGGAACAGCTAGTAATGCAATCCAGCTGGAATCTGGAGGACAAGAAGGGATGGATTTCTTCTGATGTTCACCACATTTATTCTCTCCCAGATGTTCCTAATGGGTAACTGATTGCCACACAGGGTGCATGGTCTGCTTACTTCCCTTGTGTTCTTTTCCCTTATATAGCTTCCTTAAGTAATTTCTTAAGTATCTCCCTTGAGTAATTTCACTTCATCTGTCCAGATTTACGAGGTGGTCATTTTGTCTTTCTCTCCAAAAGTCAAGGTAAGCTCCATTCTTACCGAGACACCACCACCACGTGCCCCCCCCCCCCCCCCAGCCCCGGCTTCATTTAAATCACAAATAAAACCCTACCTTCTACATCAAGCCTTCCCTAAACCCTCTTAATTTTAGTGCCTTTCCTTTGTTAATTATTTCCTACTATTACCACTGAATCCTGGGCCATTGCCAGTTGTCTTGACCTTTGTCTTGCCACTGGACTTCAATGACTGAAGGAGTGATACTGACTCATAGCCAATTCATGCACAAGTCCTCTTAGAGAATGAATGACCACCACCAACAATAAACCTGAAAGAGTGGAAGAATGGTGGTGTCCTTAAAAGAATGGGGAAGTCTGAAAGAAGGATGGATTTGGGGGAAAAGGTAGTGAGATTTAATTCAGACATGTTCAGTTTGAGATGTCTCTGAGACACTCAGTTTGAAACATTCAATAAGCAAATGGTGTTGTAAGATGAGATCTCAGTAAACCCCAATTCACCTCTTTAGGAAGGGAAGAATTGTGCCCTTCTTTCCTAAACAGCGCTTACCTCAGTTTCACCTCTCTAAACATCCCTGATAAGCCCCATGTCTATGTAGTGGTGCCTTCTTTGAACCCCTAATTTTAAGTAATTTCTCCATCATACCATGAATCCCTCCAGAGCTGTCTACTTTCTCATTGCCTTCTAAATATTCCTACTTATAGTGCTCTAAGGTGGAATTCAAGTGCACTCATCTGTTGCTTCAAAATGCTGACATCTTGTAAAATCTATTTCTATCACACCACATACACATCATTTGGCCCTTCCCTTTTTTTCAGAATTCTCCCCAAGCATCACCTCCTCTGTGAAGTCCTTGCAGACAAGCCTTTTTTGGTTCCAGCCACTCCAAACACCATAATAACCATTTGTCTGGCTTCCTAATCCTCCCCATGTATCTCTTTGTCCTTCAGTTTCTTTTTCACATTTGTAGGTGCTGCCCCTTTTACATATTTCTTCTGTTCTGTCTACCCCCATTTTATATTGTGAACCTCCAATTCTTCCACTTTCTTCAAAATAAAGTGATTTCTGGAACAAAATAAAAGTTTGTTGACTGACTAACAAAATTACTGAACCCACCAAGTTTATGCTACTTCTTTCAAGTGACTCATACCCTCTTTCCCAAATCTCAGAATCACAAGGTTGAAAGGAAACTTCTGAGATCATCAAATCCTACCCTCTTCTCCAGTTACAACTGTACCCAGACAGATAATTATCCATGTAGGAAAAAAATAGTAAATTTATGGAGTCACAAAAATGACCTGAGAAAAAGTTCTTGCCAAATTCCTGGGACCTGGGCGAGGTGGACTTCTGCCATACATGGTTGGTGGTTTCTGCAGTGAAGCTTTAAATGTTTCATGAGTTTTTACCAATTGCTTTGGAACATAAACAGTTCATTTGTGACCACTATTTGTTTTCCTTCTGTGATTCAGCCTACTTTTGTGTTCAGTTCAAGTCCTTGTGGCCCATGCTAACCAAGACCCTACAATTTTTACAAATGACTTGCAAATATTTGTGCATATCATATTGGAGTATTATATCAGATTGAATTCTCATCACTCTAAACTGCCACTTATCAAACATGTTTCCATTTTTCCATATTTTCCATATTAAATATTTCCTCCTTTTGTAGTCTTCTTACTTTCATCATAGCCTAACATCTTCCCTTTTCTCTCTGAGAAGCCCTAAACTGGTCCTAGACACAGAGATGCCGAAACAGAATATAATATCCCATGACAGGATGTCTTTCGTGTGCAGACCAAAATAGTATTGGCCTTTTGTGCAGCTGTATTCCTTTCTAAACTTGTGCCTAACTTCATATCTATTCTCACCTCTAATATCTCTCAGGGCTTCAGTTTCCAGGGTGAAAGTTAGGGCTAGGGTTAGGTTGTATCTTTCAAATCAATTCAGCTTAATTCTACAAATTAATGCTCCCGTGTCTTTGACCACTAAATCTGAGTATTCTCTGCTGGCTTCTTCTCTTATTTCAGCTGGTAAATTGTGAGTGTCCCCACAGTGCCACAAGGCCTAGGTTCAAAGAGGGTGGTAGGGAGGGGACACCACGGACTCCTCCTCGCATGCCACCTTATGATAGTTTGGCATCTGCCAGCCTGAGATCCAGCCAGCTGGATCCCACTACTGTATCTTGATGTCACTTCTTCCCCTGGCTTTTCTGGGTTAACTACTTTCAGGATATCTGTATTGGGAAAGACTACAAGGTTTGGGGCTTAGTTTCCTCATCTGTAAAATGAAGGAATGTTAAATGATCTCTGGGACCTCTCCCAGTTCTAGATCTATGATCCTCTGAGCTTCTTTTCTCCTTCTCTTTAACCTGGTCCTACAAAACAACATTTGAACCTCTTAAGCATTTCAAAGGGAAATTTGCTACAAAACAATATGTAGGAAACATATACAGATGAAGGGACTGTAGGGTTACA